AGATAGGGTCTGGTACATAGTCAAGATAGGGTCTGGTACATCAAGATAGGGTCTGGTACATCAAGATAGGGTCTGGTACATCAAGATAGGGTCTGGTACATCAAGATAGGGTCTGGTACATCAAGATAGGGTCTGGTACATCGTCAAGATAGGGTCTGGTACATCATTAAGATAGGGTCTGGTACATCAAGATAGGGTCTGGTACATCAAGATAGGGTCTGGTACATCAAGATAGGGTCTGGTACATCAAGATAGGGTCTGGTACATCAAGATAGGGTCTGGTACATCATTAAGATAGGGTCTGGTACATCAAGATAGGGTCTGGTACATCGTCAAGATAGGGTCTGGTACATCGTCAAGATAGGGTCTGGTACATCGTCAAGATAGGGTCTGGTACATCGTCAAGATAGGGTCTGGTACATCGTCATGATAGGGTCTGGTACATTTATACTAACCAATTCTAAATAAACCGGGAGCTCCCCTAAACTTTCTCGAATATTCTTATATAACTTGGAATGTAGACATGATTTTTAATTACTTAAACTTTTAAAAATAGAATAGAATCTCATAGAAAAAAACATTGCGCACCAAACAAACGCCGAAACAAAATGTGCATAATAGTGCGCAATATTATTAGTACTTTATAAATTTACTTGCGTTTTTGAGAAATCGGAAATAGCGTAAATTAGTACTTCCGGTCAACGAAAATTACTCAAAATTTGATAGAAGGTAGAGAATTAGATCTATTACTTACATGTGAAATTTCATTTATCTATCTGAAATAGTACTCAAGTTATAGGCTTTTGAAAAATTCAAAGTAGAAAAAGTACCACTTCCGGTTATCGAAAATCGCTAAAAAGTTGATACGGATCTACGATTTTGATAAAATACTTATATATGAAATTTCATCAACCTAGCTGTAACGGTACTCAAGTTATCGTTTTTACACACAGACACACACAGACAGACAGACAGACACACAGACTAGATTGCAAAATTATGTTTTTCCGTATCAGTGAGGTGTAAAACGTCGAGATTTCCAAAAATCTCGATTTTTTTTTGCACGATTACAAGACTTTCTCTATACTTCGTATATACGAGAAAGTAAAAATCTAACCCTATATATCCCCTACACTAATACTAACTAATTCTAAAAAATCTGACCCTATATATCCCCTATACTCAGAGGCGTATCCAGATTTTCGCTGTAGGGGGAGCGAAAAGAGCCAAAAAAGGCGCCGAATTTTTAACACGTTCTGTATACGTGTATTATATATATTATATATTATATATATATATATATATATATATATATATATATATATATATATATATATATATATATATACAATAACTAGCCGTATGTCATTACTTCGCTATGATGTAAAATAAATTGAAAGTAGCACTCTGAAGAAATAAGAAAAAACACACAATATAGGCCGAAAAAACAAAAATTGTATCAATCTAAACAAAAAAATATATACACATACTACAACCAAAAACAATGAACGTAACACAATCTGTTTTGTAATTCTTGTAAAAAAAATTCTTACATAGTAATTCCTGGGAAATTATTTAAGACAAGTGAAATAGGGGAAATATATTCACTCTCTTGATATAAATATGTATATATCTACAAATTTAATTATAAATGTCAAAACAAATAAATAATTACTTTAGAATTTAATGAAATTGTTTAACACTATTCGTGTTTACAAAATGTTTTTGTCTATAATCAGAATTTAATATATCGTCATCATAAATGCTAAAGTATTACAGCATAATGGAAGTTTTTAAAATCAGAGTTGGTATAAAACCACGCTTTTCGATATAATAGAAAAACATTCGGAATAACAGCCTACATTTGACTAACTATCGGTCTTTTAGTTCAGATCATATATTTTTAATTAACTACTGCTTCTTTGTGTTCTTTAAAGATCATTTTTTAACATAGTGATAGGTATGGGTTAGATCACTGTATTTATCACACACCTTTTACTGGTAATTGCAAAAACAATATTCACAGAGTTTTACCTTTAAAAAGCTATTTATCTGGCGCCATGGTACTTTGGTACGTCATTACGCGTTTTTCTACATGTACTTAACAGATCAGTTGGGGGTGGGTTGGGGGGGGGGGATGTGGGTTTAACTTCATTCACCACTGTCCGGTCACTTTAGGTCAATTATACAACCCAGTGTATACCCAGGTGTGACATTAATGTCGCTCTACACAATTGTGGTGGTGAGGTGTGTGAGTGGGAGGGGGGGGGAGGGAGATAACCAACTCAGAGTTAACATAGCGTCAGTTTTTAGATGACTGTTCTAAACATATATATATATATATATATATATATATATATATATATATATATATATATATATATATATATATATATATATATATATTACACAAATAAATATTACACAAATATATATTACAGAAATAGATTTAAATAAATAGCAGTGGTATTATGACAATATTTTTTTTACAGAAGGGTTTATGGGGGAGGGGGGTTGTAACTGTTTCATATAATTTGTAATCGTATCACTATCGCCCAAACTGTAAGAATACTACTACTTCATCGTGATGACGTTGTTGACCTTGTCAAAATTTCTCCACCACTACGCAGTTTTCTCATAAGTAAATTTAAATAGAGGTGCCACATCAGTTGTATTTGTTTCTGTATTGAAATTTTTTAAGAATTAATCACACGATTTAAACTGTATATATAAAGTAATTATGTGTGAAGTTTTATGTAAAACATTTTCTAATTCAATTATACAGTTGCCTTAAACTTAACACCCCTCTTGCCAAGTGGTACTACCCGTAGAGGTTTTTTAAACATTGCAATGCATCGTAATGGTTATTTTTAGAATGGCAAACTGATGAAGCTGTTAATACGTGTTGTAAACGTAGACACTACTAGAGTAGTACAATAATGCTTAATTGCTGCATGAAAAGAAATCTTGTGATTTACATAGATGTGCCGACCAAAAATATTTTTTTAACAAATATCATTGTTTAAAACTTTGAGTTTAAAAAGTTTCCAAAAAGGCGCCACTTTGCTGAAAATGGCCAGAGGGGGAGCGGCTGCTCCCCCTGCTCCCCCCTGCGTACGCTACTGCCTATACTATTTTATATTCCTGCTGGGCAAGGCGGGACCTATTGTGTCTTGATATTAATTAGTAACTGAATTCATAGGTCTGAACAATTATATTCTAATGGAGTTGTTAAATGGCTCAAATAAAAGGTTTGAACAAAATGAGTAGGATTTGATTTTAGACCCACTGTCGCACGCCTCGAAAGACGTCTGAGCAAGTCAAATTTTGGTGCACACTTTGGAAAGTTTGCCAGATTTAAACAAAACAAAAGAAATATGCGCGCTATATAATTTGGCGTTATAGCTGGGGAATGCAAACAGCCATAAGTTATAGCTGGGGGGGGGGGGGGGAGAGAGAAAGCTGAAAGCCATAGGTTACAGCTGGCTAACAGCCATTCGTTATAGCCATAAAAAGGGCAGTGAACAGAATGCCTCCACATTCTCCCAAAGCCCTAAGCACATTTCACGCAAGCTATTTTTATTTCTCCAATTCCAGCGCCAATCGTTTGTGTATGTTTCTTTTGATTTCATCATTCAAACTCCCAAAACGCTTTCCGACGCTCATCTTTTATCGCTTGCTGGGCCCTACACGGAGGCAGCAATGAAAGAAAGCGGCAAGGAAATCGATCGTGGCAGCGTGCCACCGATTGGCCAACTTGATTATGCTCGGGAGCGGGGGGCCAGTCAGGGGCTTTGGGTGGGGCGCCAAATGTCATTTAGTGGACTGTTGGGCCGTTCATGTCATTTAGTGGACTGTTGGGCCGTTCATGTCATTTAGTTGACTGTTGGGCCGTTCATGTCATTTAGTTGACTGTTGGGTCGTTCATATAATTTAGTTGACTGCTGGGCCGTTCATGTCATTTAGTTGACTGTTGGGTCGTTCATGTCATTTAGTTGACTGTTGGGTCGTTCATGTCATCTAACCACCAGCTACAGCCGTTTATGTCATCTAGCTAATAGCTGGCGCCGTGTATATCACGTAGCTGACAGCCAGGGCTACATCAGCCCATTACCAGCCCAACACAATGGCCCCAACCAACGCATTAGCCAGCTGACAAAACGGCTCCCTACAGAAATCTGATTTAAGCACTTCTACATTCAAACGTCAAATCCCGAAACCATCAACCATTTCAAACCGACACCTCGGAATATTATATGATTCATAATGGTGACAGCTTTTTTCTCCATCGGATCTATTTAACACTCAACATTTATCTGGTCAACAACATTTGAATATTTATCTGGCCAATAACTCAACATTAGGCTGAACATTTATCTGTCCAATAACTCAACATTAGGCTGAACATTTATCTGGCCAATAACTCAACATTAGGCTGAACATTTATCTGGCCAACATTAGGCTGAACATTTATCTGGCCAATAACTGGCTGAACGTTTATCTGGCCAATAACTGGCTGAACGTTTATCTGGCCAATAACAGACTGAATATTTTTCTGGCCAGTAACAGATTGAATATTTATCTGGCCAATAACAGACTGAACATTTTTCTGGCCGATAACAGGATGAAATATTAATAGTATGAATGTTTGTAGGACAAAAAAAGTCCCAGGAAAAATGTCTAAATTTGTTTATTCGTTGAATTTGTTAATAATAGTAGTAGGCCTATATGAAATAAGAAAGTGTTTCTTATTCTGTAATATTAAAAATTCATTTGAATGGCCGACCCAGTAAATATCCCCTATATGTGTTTTTTTTAATACTTCGAATTAGCGCTAGATGAAATTGAACTGCTGTTGCTCAATCATCTCATCAATTTTTTTAACTACATTTCTCACCCACTTGTCATAAACCACGCTCATTCCATAGGATCAAGACAAAATGCCGACACGAAACAAAGACCAACATGGTCGCAACACATCAAAGATAGGCCTACATAACATGGACGGAAAAAGCCGACAGGACAAGACAGGCAGGAAGGGACACAGGACAAGACAGGCAGGAATCAATGGGACACAGGACAAGACAGGCAGGAAGGGACACAGGACAAGACAGGCAGGAATCAATGGGACACAGGACAAGACAGGCAGGAAGGGACACAGGACAAGACAGGCAGGAAGGGACACAGGACAAGACAGGCAGGAATCAATGAGACACAGGACAAGACAGGCAGGAAGGGACACAGGACAAGACAGGCAGGAATCAATGGGACACAGGACAAGACAGGCAGGAATCAATGGGACACAGGACAAGACAGGCAGGAAGGGACACAGGACAAGACAGGCAGGAAGGGACACAGGACAAGACAGGCGGGAATCAATGGGACACAGGACAAGACAGACAGGAATCAATGGGACACAGGACAAGACAGGCAGGAAGGGACACAGGACAAGACAGGCAGGAAGGGACACGGGACAAGACAGGCAGGAGGGGACACAGGACAAGACAGACAGGAATCAATGGGACACAGGACAAGACAGGCAGGAAGGGACACAGGACAAGACAGGCAGGAAGGGACACAGGACAAGACAGGCAGGAAGGGACACAGGACAAGACAGGCAGGAATCAATGGGACACAGGACAAGACAGGCAAGAATCAATGGGACACAGGACAAGACAGGCAGGAAGGGACACAGGACAAGACAGGCAGGAATCAATGGGACACAGGACAAGACAGGCAAGAATCAATGGGACACAGGACAAGACAGGCAGGAATCAATGGGACACAGGACAAGACAGGCAAGAATCAATGGGACACAGGACAAGACAGGCAGGAAGGGACACAGGACAAGACAGGCAGGAATCAATGGGACACAGGACAAGACAGGCAGGAAGGGACACAGGACAAGACAGGCAGGAAGGGACACAGGACAAGACAGGCAGGAATCAATGGGACACAGGACAAGACAGGCAGGAATCAATGGGACACAGGACAAGACAGGCAGGAAGGGACACAGGACAAGACAGGCAGGAAGGGACACAGGACAAGACAGGCAGGAATCAATGGGACACAGGACAAGACAGGCAAGAATCAATGGGACACAGGACAAGACAGGCAGGAAGGGACACAGGACAAGACAGGCAGGAAGGGACACAGGACAAGACAGGCAGGAATCAATGAGACACAGGACAAGACAGGCAGGAAGGGACACAGGACAAGACAGGCAGGAATCAATGGGACACAGGACAAGACAGGCAGGAATCAATGGGACACAGGACAAGACAGGCAGGAAGGGACACAGGACAAAACAGGCAGGAAGGGACACAGGACAAGACAGGCGGGAATCAATGGGACACAGGACAAGACAGGCAGGAATCAATGGGACACAGGACAAGACAGGCAAGAATCAATGGGACACAGGACAAGACAGGCAGGAAGGGACACAGGACAAGACAGGCAGGAATCAATGGGACACAGGACAAGACAGGCAAGAATCAATGGGACACAGGACAAGACAGGCAAGAATCAATGAGACACAGGACAAGACAGGCAAGAATCAATGGGACACAGGACAAGACAGGCGGGAATCAATGGGACACAGGACAAGACAGGCAAGAATCAATGGGACACAGGACAAGACAGGCAGGAAGGGACACAGGACAAGACAGGCAGGAAGGGACACAGGACAAGACAGGCGGGAATCAATGGGACACAGGACAAGACAGACAGGAATCAATGGGACACAGGACAAGACAGGCAGGAAGGGACACAGGACAAGACAGGCAGGAAGGGACACGGGACAAGACAGGCAGGAGGGGACACAGGACAAGACAGGCAGGAAGGGACACAGGACAAGACAGGCAGGAAGGGACACAGGACAAGACAGGCAGGAAGGGACACAGGACAAGACAGGCAGGAAGGGACACAGGACAAGACAGGCAGGAAGGGACACAGGACAAGACAGACAGGAATCAATGGGACACAGGACAAGACAGGCAGGAAGGGACACAGGACAAGACAGGCAGGAAGGGACACAGGACAAGACAGGCAGGAAGGGACACAGGACAAGACAGGCAGGAATCAATGGGACACAGGACAAGACAGGCAGGAAGGGACACAGGACAAGACAGGCAGGAATCAATAACAAGTGTGTGTGTGGGGGGGGGGGGGTATCTTCTCTAGAAGCTTATCATGCGATAACCAAAAGAAGCAGCTAGATAAATCGGTGTTACCCTACTGAGATGAGAGGCACTAGTAACCAGACCGTTAAATCCAAGCCAGGAGTAAACAAACTGTTACGTCACAGCACTAGCGACCCCATAATGACAGACAGCTTCTCCTGTAGAAAAACAGCTAATTGTTTATGTAGCGTCAAGCTGTCATTGAAAGTGCATCAGGCCCAGTCGCCTCACACTAGGCGTCTTTAGTGACGTCCCACTGGGCGTCTTAGTGACGTCCCACTGGTCACCTTAGTGACGTCCCACTGGACACCTTAGTGACGTCCCACTGGACACCTTAGTGACGTCCCACTGGACACCTTAGTGACGTCCCACTGGACACCTTAGTGACGTCCCACTGGACACCTTAGTGACGTCCCACTGGACACCTTAGTGACGTCCCACTGGACACCTTAGTGACGTCCCACTGGACACCTTAGTGACGTCCCACTGGACACCTTAGTGACGTCCCACTGGACACCTTAGTGACGTCCCACTAGACACCTTAGTGACGTCCCACTGGACACCTTAGTGACGTCCCACTGGACACCTTAGTGACGTCCCACTGGTCGTCTTAGTGACGTCACACTGGTCGCCTTAGTGACGTCCCACTGGTCGTCTTAGTGACGTCACACTTGTCGCCTTAGTGACGTCCCACTGGTCACCTTAGTGACGTCCCACTGGTCGCCTTAGTGACGTCCCACTAGACGCCTTAGTGACGTCCCACTGGACACCTTAGTGACGTCGCACTGGGCGCCATGTTGAGGTTTTGTGGAGCGCCGTGGAGCTGAGATCTAAATGAAATCTTAAATCAACAAAGGCTTCCATAAATTCAATTATTTTGACGGTGAGTTTTTTCCTCTCAAGACAAACAAAAGTTGTTGATAACAAGGCGAGTGTGGGCCAACAGTGCTGGGAGGAATACTGCCTGTCTTCTCGCTAGCTCCCTGTAGAGCTGGCATTGATAGAAACACCAAGTCTACAAGGGTGAACTAAATGTAGTATAAGAGGAAAGGGGGGGGGGACTTGACATATCAGGCTCGACAAAATGTGATTTAAGTACTGGGGGTAGGGGGGGGGATTGGACATACCAGACAAACTTGTGAAGAAAGACCAAATCTCGGGTGGACAGCGTGGGTCAATAAGCTAATCTCTGCTAATCCAATCCGTCGGGATGCTAATCAAGGGGGAGAAGCCAGCGTTGCTTAAACAGTTCTCATTGATTTTGTCAGCTCCTTCTCTCCCCTGCTCAACACCTTCGCGTCTCCTCAACCTCCCCCTCCCGCTAGATACCCCTTTTTTACAGCAGAAAACGTACACACGCCCGTACTGCTCGTCTGACGCCGTGACTCTAACCCGTGTACTGACGCCGTGACCCTAACCCGTGTACTGACGCCGTGACCCTAACCCGTGTACTGACGCCGTGACTCTAACCCGTTTACTGACGCCGTGACTCTAACCCGTTTACTGACGCCGTGACTCTAACCCGTTTACTGACGCCGTGACTCTAACCCCTGTACTGACGCCGTGACTCTAACCCGTGTACTGACGCCGTGACTCTAACCCGTGTACTGACGCCGTGTAATGCATAATCTAATATATAAAGTTGAATTCTGTATGTAAGTAACCACACTTGTGACCAGGTGACCGCGAATAGACTTCATCGCCATAGTCGAAAATTCACACAAAAAAACCTTTAAAATTCAAGCTTTTATGTAATAATGCATTTTAAAAGTACAAAATAAATTATGCACTACTATTTAAATAACTATAAAGAAAAGCGTGGGTCACTTTAGTATATATTGGATACCATAACTAATATTTAGGAAGAGACACACGCTTTTCTTTATAGTTATTTGAATAGTAGTGCATCATTTATTTTGTACTTTTAAATGCATTATTACATAAAAGCTTGAATTTTAAAAAAATTGTGTGTGAATTTTTTCAGTTCTTTAACTGTTTTAAATTTACAATAAGACGTGCATGACTAAAAACCATTGCGCACCTAATGAACGTAATGACGCATGTATAATAGTGTGGAATAGTTTGATGAGACAGCCTACTATTTTGGACAACATTTTAATTAATGCATAAAAAATTAATTAGGCAACCAATTAAGATAAACTTAATGTCTTGTTGCATTGTCTTCATGTCTTGACCCACGTACCAACTACGAATCGTATCTGTCAGTTAGAGGTGCCCGTAATTTCGCTCGGCCGTTTCAATCTAGACTTACTGACGACAGACTGACGACAGACAGTGAGTTAAATAGGAGCTTGTAAAAAGAAACAGACCCTCCGTTTAAGTTAATCACCCTCCACAAGGACGAGGTAGAGCGTCTTCGTTTACCGTCCAGCTGTAAGGGGTGCTGCTCTTGGTAGCCACCGGTTACACGTTCACAAGCACACTGGGGGAGCCCCCTGATTCGGTTCAGTCATCGAAGGTAGTGACCCACCGAGTCATTTGTCTGGTTATGTGGCGACCTGCACAATAGTGGTCGAGTGTCATCTGACTGGCTACAGCTAATCATAACTAAGCTATTAAAGGCTTTCAATGATTTTATTGAATCAAGCGTACAGACGTCTTGATTCCGACATGTTATCAAGCCACGTTGTTTCTCGTCAAATTGTATCCTAAGTCATTGACCTTGAAAATCTAACAAAACTTTTTTTTTGTCTATCGCTAACCAGGCTTCACAGTTTCTATAAATTATAGGCTCCCAGGGCAAAAGACTTAAAGAGTCTACTGAGCTATAAATACACCCCTGCTTATATCTGGCTAAAAGTGCATGGTGTTCAGATTTATTTACAACTGAATGTTGAAATATGAAGCGGCCCAACGTTTAATTCTATAAAGTGTGGTGAATTATTATTACCGACTCATTCTTACTAGGGAACCAGAGCCATTCTTTAGTCATCACCCCTACCCCCCTCTCTGTGGCGCCCCTCGACTTACGGGACTATCCTACCCCCTTCTCTGTGGCGCCCGTCGACTTAGGGGACCACCCCTACCCCCTCTCTGTGGCGCCCCTCGACTTAGGGGACTATCCTACCCCCTTCTCTGTGGCGCCCGTCGACTTAGGGGACCACCCCTACCCACTCTCTGTGGCGCCCCTCGACTTAGGGGACTATCCTACCCCCTTCTCTGTGGCGCCCGTCGACTTAGGGGACCACCCCTACCCACTCTCTGTGGCGCCCCTCGACTTAGGGGCCCACTCCTACCCCCTCTCTGTGGCGCCCCTCGACTTAGGAGACTATCCTACCCCCTCTCTGTGGCGCCCCTCGACTTAGGGGACTATCCTACCCCCTCTCTGTGGCGCCCCTCGACTTAGGGGACTATCCTACCCCCTCTCTGTGGCGCCCCTCGACTTAGGGGACTATCCTACCCCCTCTCTGTGGCGCCCCTCGACTTAGGGGACTATCCTACCCCCTCTCTGTGGCGCCCCTCGACTTAGGGGACTATCCTACCCCCTCTCTGTGGCGCCCCTCGACTTAGGGGACCACTCCTACCCCCTCTTCGTTTAGACATTTGAAAGAAACATTAAAACTCGAGGTTTACTGGTGGTGTACATGACACAGAAAACAATATTTATCTCGTATATTTTTCTTTTTACAAATACGGGATATCTTGATGCATTTAAGGACTATAAATCTTGTGAGGAATGCTAGAGGACGTATGTAATGAGGGGGGTCCTGTGGACTGATTATGTCTTATGTAATGAGGGGGGTCCTGTGGACTGATTATGTCTTATGTTCTGTGGCTCCCCTCGACTTAGGGGCCCACTCCTACTACGTAGGAAAGCGAGAAGTTAATCGTTTCATCAGCGCCGTTTGGTTCGTGGCCAGTCACGACAAGTTAGGAATACGGTACAAACCGCTGCAATATGGCGTCTAAAGACACGGTACAAACCGCTGCAATATGGCGTCTAAAGACACGGTACAAACCACCGCTGCAATATGGCGTCTAAAGACACGGTAAAAACAACCGCTGCAATATGGCGTCTAAAGACACGGTAAAAACCGCTGCAATATGGCGTCTAAAGACACGGTACAAACCGCTGCAATATGGCGTCTAAAGACACGGTACAAACCGCTGCAATATGGCGTCTAAAGACACGGTACAAACCGCTGCAATATGGCGTCTAAAGACACGGTAAAAACCGCTGCAATATGGCGTCTAAAGACACGGTACAAACCGCTGCAATATGGCGTCTAAAGACACGGTACAAACCGCTGCAATATGGCGTCTAAAGACACGGTACAAACCGCTGCAATATGGCGTCTAAAGACACGGTAAAAACCGCTGCAATATGGCGTCTAAAGACACGGTACAAACCGCTGCAATATGGCGTCTAAAGACACGGTAAAAACCGCTGCAATATGGCGTCTAAAGACACGGTACAAACCGCTGCAATATGGCGTCTAAAGACACGGTACAAACCGCTGCAATATGGCGTCTAAAGACACGGTAAAAACCGCTGCAATATGGCGTCTAAAGACAGACCAACATGTGTCCATGTAAGAGTTATGTTGTTGTGTGTCGATGTGTGGTGATATGCTACAGTCACTGTGATGTGTGGTGATATGCTAGTCACTGTGATGTGTGGTGATATGCTAGTCACTGTAATGTGTGGTGATATGCTACAGTCACTGTGATGTGTGGTGATATGCTACAGTCACTGTGGTGTGTGGTGATATGCTACAGTCACTGTGATGTGTGGTGATATGCTACAGTCACTGTGATGTGTGGTGATATGCTACAGTCACTGTGATGTGTGGTGATATGCTACAGTCACTGTGATGTGTGGTGATATGCTACAGTCACTGTGGTGTGTGGTGATATGCTACAGTCACTGTGATGTGTGGTGATATGCTACAGTCACTGTGATGTGTGGTGATATGCTACAGTCACTGTGATGTGTGGTGATATGCTAGTCACTGTGATGTGTGGTGATATGCTACAGTCACTGTGATGTGTGGTGATATGCTAGTCACTGTGATGTGTGGTGATATGCTAAAGTCACTGTGATGTGTGGTGATATGCTACAGTCACTGTGATGTGTGGTGACATGCTACAGTCACTGTGATGTATGGTGGTGTAGCATAACATTCAGACTTTTGCTTTAAGTCGAGTACGATTCCCCTTATTAGCAACCAAGTCGCGAATGTCCAGATGAAAACATAATAATCAGCGAATTTCAGTTACAAATAGGAACATAATATAAAAAAAGATTCAGTTACAAATGGGAACTAGAAGGGAAAAAACGTGTCCCCAAGTTGGAAAAAAACGTGTCCCCAAGTTGGAAAAAAACGTGTCCCCAAGTTGGAAAAAAACGTGTCCCCAAGTTGGAAAAAAACGTGTCCCCAAGTTGGAAAAAAACGTGTCCCCAAGTTGGAAAAAAACGTGTCCCCAAGTTGGAAAAAAACGTGTCCCCAAGTTGGAAAAAAACGTGTCCCCAAGTTGGAAAAAAACGTGTCCCCAAGTTGGAAAAAAACGTGTCCCCAAGTTGGAAAAAAACGTGTCCCCAAGTTGGAAAAAAACGTGTCCTTAAGTTGGAAAAAAACGTGTCCCCAAGTTGGAAAAAAACGTGTCCCCAAGTTGGAAAAAAACGTGTCCCCAAGTTGAAAAAAAAACGTGTCCCCAAGTTGGAAAAAAACGTGTCCCCAAGTTGGAAAAAAACGTGTCCTTAAGTTGGAAAAAAACGTGTCCCCAAGTTGGAAAAAAACGTGTCCCCAAGTTGGAAAAAAACGTGTCCCCAAGTTGAAAAAAAACGTGTCCCCAAGTTGGAAAAAAACGTGTCCCCAAGTTGGAAAAAAACGTGTCCCCAAGTTGGAAAAAAACGTGTCCCCAAGTTGGAAAAAAACGTGTCCCCAAGTTGGAAAAAAACGTGTCCCCAAGTTGGAAAAAAACGTGTCCCCAAGTTGGAAAAAAACGTGTCCCCAAGTTGGAAAAAAACGTGTCCCCAAGTTGGAAAAAAACGTGTCCCCAAGTTGGAAAAAAACGTGTCCCCAAGTTGGAAAAAAACGTGTCCCCAAGTTGGAAAAAAACGTGTCCCCAAGTTGGAAAAAAACGTGTCCCCAAGTTGGAAAAAAACGTGTCCCCAAGTTGGAAAAAAACGTGTCCTTAAGTTGGAAAAAAACGTGTCCCCAAGTTGGAAAAAAACGTGTCCCCAAGTTGGAAAAAAACGTGTCCCCAAGTTGAAAAAAAAACGTGTCCCCAAGTTGGAAAAAAACGTGTCCCCAAGTTGGAAAAAAACGTATCCCCAAGTTGGAAAAAAACGTGTCCCCAAGTTGGAAAAAAACGTGTCCCCAAGTTGGAAAAAAACGTGTCCCCAAGTTGGA